TAGCAACTGTCTGTTGAAAATCTGGCATTGAACGCTTGAGAACACACTTTAAAGTCCATTAGCGTCAAGTGGCTCAACAAAAGCAGCAAAGCACCAAAAGGAGCAACACTTAAATGGGAAGCACGAGGCGTATGCGCAATTTGCAATCTGTAGCATTCGATTCATGTTTATGCGCTGCAGTTGCAGTTCAATCTGTCTCTTTAGCTACATGTATAGATATATTTATTATGTTTATCACATTTACAATCGCTCCAAAATTTGATGTCGTTGACATTTTTATTCCTATTTTCATTTGCCTTACTTTTTGTAGTCAGTGAAGCCAACGGATTTTATTCTGTATTTGGTGCTTTGTGTCAATCGTGTGACATCGAATTTTTATTCTTGTCTTGACAACAAAAATACAAACAAAATGGAGTTACACAAACTTTTCGAAAATAAAACCCAACCGGCAACCCTCTTACAATAGCGTAATATTTTCTTTACATTTGTTCTTTTTTCATTTTTTTTTATTCCTGCCAGTTTTGTTTTCTTTTATTGGTGTAGACAATACGAAAAACTGGCACAAAAGTATCCATGAAACACATTATTGCTGCAAATTATCGCACTAGATTGCTTATGGAAAAGTTTTTCTTTTTCTGCGATGAAACTCTCTTTGTTGTCGCCCATATGTAAATCTATAGTTTGTAGTTAAAGACAAGAAGCATGAAAATTGATGGAAAATATTTAAAGTTTAGCTAAAACAGATTTGGTATTTTATAGTTGTTTTCTCTTATGAAACATATTTACATGTATGCAGATTGTATATTTTTTTTGGTGTGAGTATTAAGTGTTTAACGATTTGATAGTTTGGAAAAATTCTATAAAATATTTTGGGCGTATTCTGTTTTGCCTAAATTCAACAAAAATCTGTAACATAAAATACTTTGCGAAGACCGACTTTATTATGAAAGTCCATTTGATGAACATAAAAAGTATATAAAAAATTATAAATATAAAAAAAACAAAAATTATAAAATTTCAAATTGTTCAGAAAATTGTCTGAAATTTTCTAAATATGTGCATATATATATTTGATAATATATAAAGTTCTTAATTTGTCTCCCTAATTGCTTGAGATTTTCTTATTTCTTATATCTCAAATCCAAATATTATTTTAGCAAATATATTTAAAATGATTTATAGGGTAACTCGATGTCTGGCCTGTTGCCATTGAGCGCTGCCAGTTAATAACATAATTATTGAAGTTTATTCAAAGTTAATTTCCAATATTTAGCACACGCGCCACACGCACATCCATACATCCATTTCATGTTATATCTAATCAATTAGGTGAATTATCGCTGATTCACACAAAGTTTTAGAGGAGATCTAATTGAAACAATGTTATAACTCAAGCAATCAAGTTCAAGTACTTGAATAATACGGGTATCAATCACATTTGGAACATGGCAATCGAATTAAGTTAATACAATTTTATAGCGTTTGTCGGCGGCGACAAGCAATTGTGTGTCTGTGTGTTTTTGTCTGTGTGGCAGATCCTTTTAAATGTCTTGGATGCTCATATATACATATTTCGAATCCTCGGTGTCATCAGTGTCGAGTGACTAACAAATTTCCAGCAATGAAAAAACAATGGAAACACGATTTGCCATTATGCCGGAAATCTTCGATTATTTCAAATAATCCACACACACATACACACACACGCACACAGGCACACGCACAGCTAAAGACTGAAGGGAAGTGCTGATTCAATGGTAGCCTCCGGCAATGTCTCAGACAATCAGCACTTCAGACAGGCAACAACAACGACAACAACAAGCGGAAGCCAAGGACAAAACGCGTCTGCGGTCTTTACGGGGCCGGGCAGGATCTGTTGCGAACTTGACTGAATACTGAACGACTCTGTAAGCGACGCGCTGCCTGCATTGGGTTAATGGCAGGCGACATCAGTGGGGAATAGAGGGCTTGGCCAGGGGGTTAAATGGGTGTCTGAGCCGGGCCAAGAGCACTGCACACAAAGTAAGTAGAAAACTTTTGCCATTTCTTACAAAAACAGACGCACACACACTCACTGCCAATTGTTTTTGTTTTTGTGTTTAGCTGTTATTGTTGTAGCAAAGTTACAAGCAGCATTTGAAACTTGTCATCGTCATCGTCAAAGTCAAAGTCGTTGCCGCTGCTGAGGTTGCCAGTGCGTATGAGTAATTTTTATGAGCCAAACCTCAATGCAACTATTTGCTGCCTGTGTTGGCCTTGCTTCCTTAACTCTGTTCGCTTCAACTGTTTAGTTCCACGTTTTGTGATACACTTCGAATTTGCCTTTGTTCTTCTGAATTTTTTATGACCGGCGCTCAGGTCAAAGGTCCCCTGTTAATTTGCCTGTGACCCATGCTTTTGCATCGACTATGGCCTGTTTTTTTTTCTACTCGTCTTTTGAATTTTTGCCTGCCAATGAAGTTAATCGAATTAGGGGTCCACTTAGTGGCAGAAATTTGCCTTGGGCACAGGCCTGCCTAAGTAATTGCATTCTAGGAACTCTTATCATGCGTAAATTTTACGTAACTGTTGAAAAATTTAAAGAATGCTTTGTGAATGCCTTGAATGACTTAAAATTGCCAAAAATATGTTGTTTATTGTCTGTTTTAAATGTATTTAAAAGTCTTTTGAAAATACGCTATTTGTAATTTTTTTGAGAAGCATATATATGAAGAACTATATTCCTTACCTTTTTTAACAAATTAAAAGGTCAAAATCTTATGTAGTTTCTGAAATTGAACCGCCGACGTTTCGCTTGCTAGCATAACGCACCCATTTAGTCACACAGGCACACTACGTCAGGTTTGCAAAGCGCAATTATATGACTGCGTCGATTTTGATGTTTTTCAGACAAACTTTAACTACAATTTTCCCCCTCTTGGTGGTTGAATTTCCCAAAAGACATTTCGATATACATGCATAAGAAAAATGTATAAAATTGATGCTTTATGTGAGCCCTCTAGCAGAAGTTGTCAGAAAATGCTGTCAAGCAATTGCTAAAGTATGCCATGAAGAATCTTTGTCTTTGTTCACATAACTCCGAGCGACTTGTTGGATGTCAACTAAGTGTGAAGGAATATTAGCTTGAAGATGTGCATATGACAAATCTGAAAAGTTTTCAGCCACTTGGTTCAAATAAAGTTTTATTTAAATTTGTTTGCCACAAGAAACTTTGCATTTGGCCACTGCAAAGCTGTGTGTGTGTGCCAGCGCGCATGTGTGTGTGTGTAACCTTAAAGTGGAGGCGAAAGGGCGGGCGGGTCAGCACATGACACTTGTGACTTGACGCTGCATTGTTTGATTGTGGCTTAGGCATTTCTTTTGTGCCGCTGCTCAGTTTCCCGGCTAATTGTGTGTCCTGGCCAAGTGGAAGGATGCGGCAAGAAATGGCTAAGCCATTGAGCACACAATGCTGCTGCAGTAGAAGAAGAGAAGCGCGCATCAAGCCATAAATCACAATGGATACATGCATAAATTATAGCACGAAGCTGGAGCTGGCGCTGAAGCTGGGGCTGCTGGCGAGAAATCAAAGTGGGCAGGCGGAGAAAGAGAAAATGCCACAGAGAGAGAGAGAGAGAGAGAGAGAGAGAGAGAGAGAGAAAGTGAGAGAGGGTGGGGGAATACAAGCTGGCAAGTGTTAAAAAACGAAGCGACGTTTAAGGATTTAACGAGAAAAAATCGCTGTCACGCGAACGCTGGACGCATCGTTTTAATCAGTGGGCGACAGCCGCAGCCCACACCACACCCCGCCCGCTGCCAACGGGCACGTGCGCTAGCACAGGCAGCACAGCTCCAGCTCCAGTTGCGACTCGTAATATTTTGTCCAGGCCAAAGTCAACAGCCGGCACTTGGATTGTGTGGCAGCAAGAAGACAAAGCGCGACAAGTAACGTGGGCTGGGTTGTCGTAAGGGGGACGGGCGGGTTGGTAGTGGTGAGGGTGTTCAAATTTGCATTGGCGCTGCAAAGTATGCAACGCATATTTTTACTTCACTTCTGTTTGTTCCGCTTGGCTCAGTGGACCAAACATGCCCAATACCCACACTTCCCCTGCCCCACCACCCCTTCAACATTCCGTTTTTTTACATATATATATATATATATACATATATACACATATACATGCACACATACATATAACAACGAAACGCTGCCTTGCGCCAAAGCTAAAGGCGCGTTTATGTGCCAAAAAAGTTGCAGGAAATCAAGGCATTTCGTTTGTTGTGATTAAATATGATTGTTAATTTATTTTATTTTTAATTAAAATTTAACGAGAGCTTATGCAAAGACATTTGTATTAAACATTAATGAACATTAAAATCAGAAATTATTTTTATCTTGATTAACATATAATTTTAAGGCAGGCTGCAATCATAATAAATTACAATTTATTTCAAAATTAAATATATATTAATAAATAATGAATTATTTTAATAAAAAATATCTGAAGCTGAAATACGTTTCCAGACGAGTTCAAGTGTTCGAATTTGGCTCTTGATTGAACTCAAGTTGAAGAAGGCACCTGCGACCCTGTAAAGTTTATATATTCTTGTTCAAAACCAACAGCTGAGTTGATATAGTCGTCTGTTTCTCTCGGATCCGGTTGGATCAGATCCCTATATTATATAGGAATGATCCGTCAAAGTACTTTTATGAAACACTTTATCGTTTGTCAGATATCTGATCTCGCTTCGGCATATATATGTTTCCCTCTTCCCCTTACATATATTTTGTCGTATCTATCAATATCGGACTAACATATAGTAAAAGTCTCTAGGTTGAACTGATGGAAAAATGAGCTTATGTATAGAGAAATGGGCGTGATTTCCAAGATATAATCGCCAAAGTCAGCTCTTACATCTGCACAACAGTAAGCTACATAAAAAGTATTCAGGGGATGGTGTTCAATCTTCGACAAGCCGAAGTAAACCGTTGCTTCCTTTTACAAATAAATCAACTTCACTTTTTGGTGCTCCCATTTATAAAATATATAAAAATTTACCCTTGAATTTGGTTAGAAATGAGCATGTGCCTCTTATATGCAACTCTCCCTATACTTGGACAGTTTGTCAATTTGGATGCCGACGATGCGCAGGACCTGCTGTGATGCAAAGATGCCCGTGCGGATGCAGTAGTCGAGGGGCATGTGTTGGACCAGCTGCGAAAGGAAGCCGCCGACAAAGGCGTCGCCGCAGCCGTTGGTGTCCACAATTATTTTCTTGTCAACCTTGGGTACCGGATACTCGAGCACCTTATCGTTTTCCTGGAAGCAGAGCACCGGGCAGACAGCATCGGTGATCATGACAATGCGTGGACGGTTATTTTCATTGGGCAGGCTCTGCAGCTTTCGTCCGATCTCAAAGATGTCCGTGGTGTCCCAATCATGTGACGTGGCATATGCTAAGGCCTCCTGCTTGTTGCCAATAACCATATTCGTGTATGGCAGAATATGGTCCAGCTCCAGTTTGTGTGATTGCAGCACGAAGACAGCGCTGAAATTGAGCACAAAACAGCGATTGGAGTCGCTGGAGAGCTTCGCTATGCGGAGTACGCTGGCTGCGTTCACGGCGACAATGAAGCCGGTCGCATAGAAATACTGTGCGCGCTCAAACAGACACTGGTTCTCTTCAATGTCCAGCCAATCCTCACTGAACAGAGCCGCGGCGCCCAAGCTTGCGACCAGGGAGCGATTTTGACCCGATATTATGACCGCACAGGTGCCGGTTGATACCTCGTCCTTGACCTGATAGTGCGTCTCGACGCCATCGAACAGCGCCCGCTTGGCAATTCTATCCCCAAACGAATCCCGGCCAACGGCGCCAAAGAACAGGGCTCGAAATGGTTTGCCCACAATCCACTGGAAGACACGCATTGAATTCTGGCAAGCACCCCCAGCCGAATATTGCACGTTCTCCTGGTTGGTCAGCTCCTCGAAAAGCGGCATGTGCTTCTCCTCGGCAATGATGGCAGCATTGGGCTTCAGCTCGTATTTCTCGAGCAGCGTTGTGTCCTCCACAATGCTGGTTATGTCTAGCAGCGGATTGCCGAAACCAATTAGAATGCCCTCTGGCAAGTCCATTTTCCTCTTTGAGTATCCTTTGATAGATTGAGGACAACGGCAGGCCTTTCTTTCGATGATATTTCCCACTTTAAGGCAGCTAAGGCAACAGCTGGTACGACGACCTTTAACTGTATCTGGTTGCCCAAATTGGATTGAGAGTTGCTTGCTTATGGCGATACATGAAAGCCGACGCATAGCCCAAACTAAACGTCACTTCTCATCGGTACTAAACAGTTTGTTTGCATTTTCTAACTACAAAGACGCTACAATTTTTAGGAGCACTTGCTTTCGATTCGAATTTCTGGAACATACTGGAACCAACCCAACCCTGATTGGAAATACAAAGTTTGTTTTTTGAAATAGTTCTTGAAATGAAAAATGTTCAAATTTTTTTAACTGACGACGTTATTTATTTATTTTTATTTTTTTAATTCTTGATGATTCATTATTTTCTTATATATTTAACTAATATATACTTTCATATTGGCCCTCTTTTACCTGGAATCTGAACCTGAATCTCTTTTACTAGTCTTGTCCATTTATTTTTGACGCTTTAAGTCTGTGTATTTAATTTTCCCACCTTTCGTAACCTATTTCAGGGTATTGCCTATTCGACTAGCTAAACTTATTTGTAATTCTCTTGTATAACCATTTTTTGTTCTCTTAATTATCTCTACGACAATTTAACATTTAGTTTGTCAAGCACAAACGTTTTTGTTTATTTTCTGCAGGGTATGGTCTAGTCGTGCACCTGATAGCACTTCAGCTTTAATTACCCGCATAAATCAATCATGTTTTATTAATGGTCGGTCCATTTAATATGCTATTAATTACATTTTCATCTGGTCGTGCATTTTTATATGCAATTTAAGCGCCATTACGACAGGCTGTGAGTCGGCCAGGGGAGCGTGGGGCCTGGTAAATGGAGGCCTTTCACTAACTGACAGCTGGCGAGGTGTGAGCATTTTTATTTTCACCTGCCTAAGGGTGGGAGGGGGTGACGGTGGGGGATGGTTTGGGTTGTGGCTTAGAGCAAGGAATTGAATGCCATCATAAAAATATGTACGTCTTGTCAGCTGGCGTTGCGTTGCGCTTGACGAGCTGAGAATGCAGTTGCGGCCACCGGGAACGTCCTTGCCACGAGTGTAGCCGAAGGGTCTGTTTTCGGCGAGGAGGGGTGGGGGGGGGGGGGGGTTAGACGGGGGTTGGGCAGATGAAAACAATGGCATTTGCAGTGCTTTGCACAAGTTGCCTCGCATAAATATTAATTTTTATGCAACAAAAGCAGCCGCAGCGACAACAGCAGCCGCGGCAATGCAACCGAATGGAGCAGCAGCAACAACAACAACAACAATAGCAACAACAATAGCAGCAATAATAACAACAATAGCAGCAGCAGCAGCAAAAATAACAATAGCAACAAGCGTCGCTTATCGCCTGCGAGCGCCGCAAAGTATGCAAGCGGTTTTTCACTTTGCTGCTGTTACGCATATACCCTATAGTTAAATAGCCAAATGGGGAATGCTGTGCTACGATATAAATGTTTTAGCTTGAGTCTGGTTTTAATCAAATTGCTTGCTCTTGAGATATTTTACAATATATATTAATATAATAGCTGCCTATTTATTTCTTAAATGCATATTTTAATACATTAAATTTGGCTGAAGTTTGTATAAATAATTTAATTTATATGTTAAAAGATTTGTCGCCCCATGGTTTGTGTGCATATAGGTCCAGCTTTTAATCCAATTTTTTTCAACGATAGATTTTATTAGAGTGAGTTGATTGAATATTACGCTGGACTGCTCGGGGTCAGCTCTAATAACACGCTGAGAATTTTAATGTTATAATTTATTACTTATTAAAATACACGCTCATTAAAATAAGTATAGGATTTCGAACTCTTTCCATAAAGTCTGATTATAGCTTTACAATGATAGTAATACCTGTGCTCAGATTGTCGCTTCCTGAAGAGGTACTTGCTTATGTGTGAACATTTTTCTTAGTCGTGTGCCTTTAGCAAACCGCAGCAGCAGGAGCAGCAGCGGCGGCAACAACAACAGTAAGAGTAGAAGGGCATGGCGGAGGGAGGTAAAGCCGAAGCTCTAGCAGTAGCAGCGACGAAGCCGCGCAGGATCTGTAGCTGGAGCTCGACCACAGCGGCAATGCAGCTGCATAATGTGGCATGTGGTTAGCATTAAAAATGATATGCAACATGAGGAGCAGCTGCGTGCGGGCGAGGGTTGGCAGAGCGGTTGCATTTTGAGGTGCAGGCAGTCACTGACAGCCGCATGGCAACTATAATCCACACGAACAGACGCGAGCAGCCACTCAACCACCCAACCACCCAACCACCCAATCGCCCAACTTGCACGCACTGCCAAACCGAGCGTATGTGGCTTAAGAGTGTTAACTATAGCTCAGGGTGTCAGGGCGAGGGGTGGGATTAAGAGGTTCGAGATTGGCGGTTGGGCTTGAGTTGTGTTGGGGGCCTGTAAGCAGCAGCAGCTGCCACTGGCACACAATGAACACATCAACATGACACTGTCGGCCTGACAAAAGCTTAGCAGCCAGCTGAGTGGCAGCCAGCCCCAAGCCGAAAAAAAAGGAAGCAGAATTCCAAGTCCATTCGCATATATGCAGCAACGCCTCCCTTCTAACACTGCGCTACCCCCTGGGAGACATTCACAAGCTCGACGCTTTTTTGATATCCGCTTCCGTTTGCGCTTGCACCGGCAACTGAGATTGTTATGTAACAAGCTCTTTATGTGATTACCTTTACCTTCTGTTAGTTTTACTATAATTTGGCCTTTACTTTTAACGAGATTGTTGCCAGATTTTCCAAATCGAGAGCAGCCAACATTCTATGTAACTGAAACGTGCCGCATTCAAGCATAAAATGCAGGATGTTCCCTGCTCCTGATTCTTCTCCTACCCGCACATCCACATTCACATTCATTCAGATGAGCATGAGTTCTCACATGCGTATCTGAGTATATGCGCTTGAATTCGTGTACTCGCATTTCCATTGTGCTGCATTTTCTCTGCTACTCATTTCCTCATATCCAATGCCACACAATGGCCAAAGGACTAAAGTTATAATAATAAATGTACGGGTTTTGGGATTTTGTAAGGGATTTGGGTACATTTCCCTGGATCAGATTTTCACTATTCACTTCCTACGACAACGTCGGACTAATTTTATGTGCTACTGAATTAAATTACAATTGTTATTGGGGCGATTCAAAAGCTCAAAAAATAATAATCTAATGCCTAATATTTTTGGCATACATTACTTATATTAAAAGTATATATTTCAATAGGGAATTGTATTTAATGTAATTACAAAATTTAAACAAGGTTTAAAGTTAAAAATTTGATTGTATATAGATCAAGTTTCCATACAGTTTCCGGTTCTGGTTCCGGTTTCAGTTGTAGTTAGATTAAGTAAGTGCCTCGGTGTCACCTAGTAGGAGAAATAATTGCTTGGCTTTCAGCCTGGGCTTGTGGTTCTTAAATATACGACTTACCGGTAAATGTTTCCACTGACATTGCAAATGATAGTCACTAACATGCGTAGCAAGATAAATATGGCACATAAACACAGTATAATTGCATTTATGGACCAACGATAGATCGTCAGAATATCAACCATCGTTTTTGTCAGAGTTCATTCATTGATTTATGTGTAAAAAGGGGTCTTTTTTGTTTTGTTTTGACATGTTTGAAGCTTTGGCTACTTAGATATTTAAATAAGCCTGGAAAAAATGTGCAAAGCTTATAAATTGTTATCGATAAAAAAAATTAATTTAAATCAAGAAATTTATATTTTCTGCAATTTCTTTATTAATTAGAAATACTATTTCGATTTGTGGTGCTCTCAACTGATTAATCCATCATTATTGTCGATAAATACTTAATGACAATACAATTCAACTTTAGCCGGTTAAAAATGTTCGCATATATAAATATGGAATTTTTTAAAGGATTCATACATATACTTTTATGGGTATGACCTGTTATATATATTTTCTATCAAGAGTTTTTTTTTTCGTATCACATAGCCGCCCTACTTGAATCAAGTTTGAGTATTCATTTCCACCTTGTCACACTACGAAAACGTATCACAATTTCCGTAGCGCTAAAAAATCAAGAAACGTATATAAATAAATCTAGCTCGAATTTGAATAATTTTAGTGAAAGGGTCAGGGATTCAATTCCAGATCTGAATTTCAAAAGTGTGTTTTTGTTAAATAGTATTAATCATGTCGCAATACGCGCCCTTCATCAAGCCCTACATCGAATACAATCAGTTCGGCTGGGGTCCCTGCGATATGCCCGATATGGAGGTGCCCTATCAGCCGTTCTGCAAGAGCGATCGCCTGGGCAAGATCAGCGACTGGATGCTGCCCGTGCAGGAGAAGAAGTACGCCAACAAATATGCCTCGACCTTTGGCAGCAACAACAGCCAGTACGCGTACTTCCATGAGGACGACGATGCCACCTTTCACCTGGTCGATGGCGGCAATCCGCGCGCGCTCAAGCCCTTTCAGCGCAATCGCTATCGTCCCAATCAGCGCAACAATGTGCGTGTCCATGGTCGCAATGTGCGTGGCAATGCGGCCACAGGTGGGGGTCAGGGTGGTGCCGGCGGTGCCGGTGGAGCAGGGGTGGGCAACAAATATGGCAAGGGACGGGACATGCGAAGGGGCAACATGGGTCGCCGCTTCATGCGCAATGCGCCAGTGCGTCTGCGCGAAAGCTCCGTGGTGGTGCGCTCCGACTGGGTCTCCATAGAGGAAATTGACTTTCCTCGCTTGCTTAAGCTTTCGCTGCCGAATATTAAGGACGGGATGGATGTGGTCACCTGCGGCACGCTGGAGTACTATGACAAGCAATGCGATCGCATCAATGTGAAGAACGAACGGCCGCTGCAGAAGATCGATCGCATCATCAATGTGCCGGGCACTATAGACGATCCCATCATACGGCGTCTGTCGAAGAGCATGGGCAATGTCTTTGCCACAGATGATATAATTGCCACGCTTATGTGTTGCACACGCTCCAACTACTCCTGGGACATTGTCATCGAAAAGCTGGGTACCAAGGTGTTCCTGGACAAGCGCGACAATGCCCAGTTCGATTTGCTGACGGTCAATGAGACGGCACTGGAGCCGCCGCAGGATGAGGAGGGCTCCATCAACTCGCCGCAGAGCCTGTCGCTGGAGGCCACCTTGATCAATCATAATTTCAGTCAGCAGGTACTCAAGATTGGCGAACAGGAGCCGAAGCACAAGTTCGATGAGCCCAATCCCTTCGAGGAGCCCGGCGTGGAGCTCGCCTCCGTTGCCTATCGCTACAAGCAATGGCAACTTGGCGACGATGTGGTTCTAATAGCGCGCTGCAAGCACAACGGCGTCATCAAATCGCCAGCTGGGGAGATGCAGTTCCTCTCCATCAAGGCGCTCAATGAGTGGGACTCGAAGGCGGCCAACAGTGTCGAGTGGCGCCAAAAGCTGGACAGCCAGCGCGGCGCAGTGCTCGCCTCCGAGCTGCGCAACAATGCCTGCAAGCTGGCCAAGTGGACCGTGGAGGCGGTGCTCGCTGGTTCCGATCAGCTCAAGCTGGGCTATGTCTCGCGTGTGAATCGTAAGATATGCAATTATAACACTCTGATATACTCTATATAGAGCGCCTTACGCAGGCAAGGATCATCTGCGTCATGTCATCCTGGGCATGCAGCAGTTCAAGCCACAGGAATTTGCCACACAAATCAATCTGAATATGGATAATGCTTGGGGCGTGCTGCGTTGCCTGGTTGACATTGTGCTAAAGCAGCCGGATGGCAAGTATCTGATCATGAAGGATCCAAACAAACCCATGATACGCCTCTACGATATTCCCGACAACGCATTCGACTCGGAGGGTAACGACGACGAGGAGACCAGCGATGACAGACCGTTCCTCAAGTCTTTGGGTAATTAGATTCACATTTAGTTAGCATTTGTTTCCTTTTCAATTATGTATATCTAAGCTGTTTTTGTGTGTTCAACTGAAAATTAAATGATCTGTGGCGAACAGGGAATTGAAATATCAGATGTGCTAAGGGTAGCTAAGTTTAAAAGACGAAGGATGAATCATTGATTGCATTTGTGTCGATTGAGGACATGTTCCTCTATGCAAGCTTATTGTATTCGGCAGGTTCAGACCACTATATAATATTGAATATTTATATGATAAATATTTTATGGCTTTAACATATCATAACCAATTGCAAGCCTTATTAGACTCAAGGCTGCAGACCTTAGAATTTGTTGGGTTTTCGGTTCACGCTTGGAACTAATGCCTCATTCATGGTTCGTTTCGAGAATTAGCTTTTCCGCATATATTCACCTAGGCCATATTTATAGAACTTAAAAAAATATTTTAGTCGATTGATTTTGTTCCTTTAATCCATGAAATTCTTTGGTCAATAACTGCTCGAAAGATCAACGTGTATATACTATTTACATTTGAATACAATGTATTCATTCATTTCGCTTTTGTTGCTGTTGCTATTGCTGTTGCTATTGTTGTTGTGGTTTGACTGATAGTTAGTCGCCCTCGAGCTGTGAGTCCATATAAATGAGCTCCTGACAGCAGCCAACGACAGAAGTGGCAACTGCGCTCGACTGGCGCAGAACAATGGAAATAAATACAATTTAAATTGAGTTTTTGACCAAGCACAAAAAGACGCACACACACACACAGAACATATGTCGGCTTATGTACATTGGTATACTTCCGCCCACTCCCTGTAGATAATCCCCTGGCAGCCCCCTCGAGATCTGACAAGAGTCACAGTTATTTGATGATAACATGTCCGCATCAATCATTGCGGTTCTGCATGCAAAGAAATACGAAATGAAACCAAGTAAAATAAATGTACATTGTCAGTGTTTTAGTGTGCGTGTGTGTGTGCTTGGAATGACATTTGACATTGTCACACAGACACCCACACAAATATACATACACACCCACACAGACACAGCGAGTAATTGTGCTCAGGACATTCGCCTGTTGTTTAGCTCAAGTTCGCCTCAGCTACAATAAATCACAAAATGGCATCAATCAATGCAAATTTCAAAGCAATTTCATTAGACGCAGCCCATTTTAAAAAAGCTGTGTGCTACAATTTTAATTAATTTTTCCGATTTAACATTGGCACAAATTGCAAATTGCATTCGAATTACGAGCCTAATTGATCGCCAGCCCTTAGGAATTCGCTCGCATGCAAATCCTTTGCTGGCCCACAACTAAATTATCAAAATGAAACTTTGTTAGTTGAAACAACAACAATAATAGTAAAAACATAAACACAAGCATTTAATTTAGCCAACAGTTTGTTACTTCATTTCATTAAAATCGTTTAATTGCCCGGACAAAAGCCTGTTGGCATTTTAAATACGTATTAAGAATTAAAATAAATGCTTAAAGATGCGTGAGTATCTGTGAGAAACTTTTCTGCAATTGTTGCAAATTTGTTTTGAGTGAAGTGTTTACATGTTAAGCTGTTGAATTACAAATAAGAGTTGTTTGATTATAATTAATATTTAATTGCACATAAAGTAGGAAATGTTTTTGTCTATTTTATTGCTTTTTCAAAATATAACTTTTAAAAAACAATTAAATCAGTATATAAATTTTAAAATAAAGTATACGACTTTATATTTTGGTATATGAATGTACGAAGCGAGATTTTAGCAATAGAGTATTCTACATTTATATGCCATCATAGAATTTTATATCCATTCCGTTTGTTCGCTTGTCTAAGTGCGTTACTTAGAAAACACATCAACCGAACAACATAAAATAAAAAGGTTGATTAATTCATAAATAGAGAATATTATATATAGAGAATAGAGAATATTAAATTATATTATGCCCACTTTTTAAAAACTGTTCATATTAATTTGTTTAGTTGCTTCTACTTATCAAGTATACGTACGGTTAGCCCATCGGTTCTAGCAGTGCCCTTCAAAAAAAAACTAAAAATTTAATTAAAACTCTAACAAGTTTATGCAATTTAGAAACAACAATATACTTACATACTAAGAGTTTATTTAACGGAAACTACACGCTTACATATGCGTATATAAAGCATACGCACCACTGCCTAAATTAAGAAAATAAACATAAATCCTCAGCAACTCAGTTGGAAATCCATAAAAAAGCTCAAAAGCAATTCAAAGTTAATAAATGTCCTTAAGCACTATCAAACTGAAAATGAAGCATACGCAATGTTGGCATTTAAATGCTTTAAGTGCTGTAGAAAGTTAGAAAAAAAATTGAGAGTATAAAAAGTGGTTGTTGTGTGTTATTCAATTAAAACATTTTGTTTGCTAAATCAACATGTCCGGAGTAACTACAAAATGACTTTTGTTGATGGTTGCGAGCGTTGTGCGGCTGCCCCACAGAAAAGTTGCGCGCCTGGTTAGCTGCCTGAGTGGCCGGCCCACTACGGCTGCTGACAACTGCTGGGCTCCATGGGCTAAGAGTTTTTGGCCTGTTCTGGCCGGGGGCAGTCGTTGCATTTCAAGGTCTGCGCTTGGCTAACCACGCCGTTGAAAGGCGTTTAACAAACTGCGCCCTTGGCACTGCGGCAACTCTGAAGCCAGCTCAAGTGGCGCCTCAATGCAAAACTTTTCTCTGCATTTTAACGCACAGTCGGGCTTAAAGGGGGAGAGGGAGGGATAGTTGAGGTATGGCTTACTCAACCGACGGCATTTGCATATGGAACCGCAAGCGGCGCCCGAGTGCGAGATGAAAAGTTAAGCGTTGAATGAGGGCGACAAATTGCAAATTAAACTCTTTTGCATTTTACACACACATGAAA